TGATTTTATATCATCATCATGGATAGGTTGTTTGGGAAATATAGGGTTATGCAGGTATTCCAGTGTGTTGACACTGTACAACACCAGAAAAACCACATTAACATTACTATCAAACCCATTAGAAAACACTTGAAGTGTTGGAAAGCTGTCATGCTCCCAGTGGCAGATAAAAATTTTCCAAAATTCTAGCTTTTCTTGAAAGCTCTAATTTTATCATTTGTTTTTCTTGAAGAACAGGCTCACTTCATTTTCTAGAAGATGTCTGCCAATATCCAAGTATGAATAGCTTTGGTTTTTCTGTCATTCTTGAAAGTAAAAATAATGTTCTGTGAGAAAAGCAACCAGTTCATTTTGCGACTCAGTCACACAAGTGCTTTTCCTTAAGACAACCACGACACTGAAGTAGTATGTAGCAGAAGCACTGTAATACCTATGTACTTTCCATTTAGTCATGCAGAAGATTAAAAAGATTGCTGCTTGAGTTAAAGTTTTTAGAAATTAATAATTTGTACTACCTAATTGAGGATGTAGTTGTTACTTGGTTTTTTCTTTTTTTAACTATAAAAGTTAAAAATACACTACTACTAGTATAGTTTGATTTGTGCTAAGGTACCAGAAGAGTTTGCTTGTTTATATAGTACAATAATTTTTAGTAAGTTAGCTGAGTAATGTAACCATTACAATCAGTTTTAGGACATTTTATGTCTCCAATAAGAACCCTCATGCGTGTGGAACTTTTTAAAAACATGAACAGCCTGTTAGCAAAATGTGGAAAAGAAAGCTACTAGTATTATTATAACGTTTAGTTCACAAAAATACTGTGCTTAATTGTTTTCACTTGCCATAGAGTTAGGCTGCCATCATATTTTCTTTCTTGTCAGTATTGTCTTCATGGCTTATTTCAATTTTTTTTTTATCCTAACTTTTTTCATATGAAAACACCAGATGACTTGACAGAACATTGTTTCAGCCATTTCCTGGGCTGCATGTTCTTTACTTGGAAGAGCTATTTACTGTCCAGTTTCGGTGTGTAATTTGCATTTGTATGTCTACAATCAGTATTTGTTTTTCAATTGTCTGATAGGTAGTAGAGATTTATGAAGAAAGTATCATGTTCTTCCTGTTTTTACTTCTAATAGCACAGTATTGCAGTTTAATGTGATTGGTTGAGTGCATGTTAAATTGATACTTTACATAGATTGTGAATTGTATGATTTTTTTTAATATAAAAGCACTTGGAGATAATTTATACATTTTTCCTGAAGTGAAAGTTTAGATGCTTGTTCAGGTTAAAGTCTCTTACCATTTCTCTCATAATTTATTCTGAATCTAAAGTGGAGATGAATAACACATTTAAAAAATGCTGAACTTTTAAATGTAACATAATATATATCAGGTGTGTAAGGTAGAAAGTGTTCATAGGCTATTAGAGATGAGGCTTTGCCACTAAAGGTACATGCTATTAGGGAAAAAATGCATCTGTAATATAAGGCCATATTATTCCCACTTAATAAAAAGATGCAAAGTTTAGTTTGTAAAAGAGTGTTTAATTTGTTTGCTAAATAAAAAAAACATGAATTTTCTAAGAAATTTTCAAGTTTTACTATTAACAGGTCAGTTAGATGTCCAGAATTCATCCTGATGGACCTTTCCTTTATTTTCCTTATATTTTCTAATTATTTCCTGATAAGAAGACTCTTTTTATGCAGATACTGAATTAGAAAGCAAAGCATTGAACTGACACTATAGGTGTGCTAAAAGAATACAATGTATGTCCATATTACTGGACTATCAGCACTCATCACAATATTCTCAATTGACAGGAAAGCAACTGTCAGAAAAATTAGAACATTTAAAATGAAATATCACAGAGCAGAATTCTCTCATAAAAATTAATGAAGGTGAGGCTTCGACCAAAGTAAGTTTCTGAGTGATTCTTTCATTAGCCAAGTAAGGAATGTCATTTACCATTGGAGGTTCAGTTAAATAATGTTTGACTGCAGCAACCAAAGAAGTGTGTCCAGAGAAGATAAAACTATTAGATTTTCATTGAGGACAATTGCTCAGAGTTGAAGATATTGGGAGCATGTTGGGGCAAGATTGAAATTTTCCTATGGTCAAAACTAACACTGAAGGGCCCTGGAGATTAGCTTTTGCTATAGACTTGATAGTGTTTCTTAATATGTTCATCCTAAAATTATAAAGCAAAACAATGCTTATATGTAAAATTTATACCACAATAAAGTTATTTCAGTGACAATTAGCATGGTATGAATCACAAGTAATATCCAACTGCTTCACATATTTTTGTTAGGTGAAAGAAGTGAGACCTTCATTCCCATGCAGATTTGCAGCAGATACATATTTTCAAGCTCAAATTTATAGTTGCAGAAAATTTTAGACCTCGTTGCAAGTACAAAGGAAATTTGTGTATTTCATAATTTACTTAACTGCAGTTGAATTGGAAGTGATTAATCTGCAATGTAACGACATGCTAAAAAACAATGTCAAGAGAATTTAATAAAATAATTGCCTTCCAAGCAATAAATGTGTTCAATTAAAATAATATGCTTGTCGATTTATGGCAGTGTTAGTAGTGTCTGTGTGAAAAACGTTTTCAAAGACTGAATATGTAAAGTCTCATTGCAGATCAACATTAACAGATAAACGTTTGTAATAAGTTTCAATGATAGGATTGTCTAAATTTTAATCCAGTTTAGCAAAGTTATCCTCAATGAAGGAATTCCATTGGTTTTATTAGTGGACCTGTATTTTTAAAATTACACCGAAATATTATATTTTGAATTTTGTCAATAAAATATTTTAGAAATTTGTTTCCTCTTTTTTTATATAAGTACCTTTATAAATATTCTGAATTTTACCTCTTGGCTACACAGCCAAAAATATTCACTATTTGGTTCTTTACAAATATTTTGTCAGCCACTGGTGTATACTCAAAGAAACAGGTTTCCCAAGGAAGTCATCCTCCAGTAAAGAAAATGAACATGTATATAGTACAGTGGTATATAGTTAGGATGAGTAAAAAGAAATGTGTTTAAAATTCTATACAATAAACATAGAATTTTCTAGTCATGTATAATAAGTTTAGATAAATTTGTGAATGAGTCCCATAAATGCCTACTAAAATTATCTACTTCAAAATTGATATTATGAAAAAGAACCATGCTCTCCTGTGCTTGTACACGAGGTCTCTGGCAAGATACTATTGAAATAAGTAATTGTTCTGAACTAGTATTGCAATTAAAAAATTTCTGTTTAAAACTTAAGCTTAATTTTTCAGGTGGTACAACTTTTAGTTGGTACGTTTTAGATATCTTTTCTTAGATATTGTTTTATTCCTAAATGGATATTGATTCTTTTTGTACCTTGCCTCGTTTAGAAGGGTATTCAAGGTAGGGTAAGTGGGACTAGATAGTATTTGGTGTTATTTAATAGATTCTGGGGTCCTCTCAGGAGTTTAAGCAACATTTTGTGGGAATCTACAATAAAATATAAATTTATTAATCATAGTCTGGAAGAACGTGGAAAACAAAGTGTCTAAGCTGGACCCTGAAGGATGACTAAGATTTGGGCTTTCAGGGGTACATGTTTGGGAGAGCGAACCACGTGGAATGAGCTTTAAGAAGAAAAATAGGAAGTTGTCAGTGATGGTACGATGAGAGATGGGAACTGGGTAGTTTGGGACTTGAATGTCCACCTAAGAGAAATGGACTTTATTGACAAATATTAATAATTCTGAGTTTGGCATGATGTCTGGCACTCAGAGGTGCTCAATTACTATTTATTGGATAAAAAATAGAGAACTATTTAATATTTAAGAAAATTGAGCAGGAGAAATATTGGATAAACACCTGATGACAGAAGGTTGTCGTTTATCATCAGAATAGCAAGATTTGCTAAATATTGGCTAAGTCACTGTTGACATTTACCTGACATCTTTTCCTTTCTAATTACTGCTACCAGTTTAACCAAGGCCTTGTAACATTGTAATAGTTTCCTTCTCCCTAGTGTTTGGAGTCTTTCAACCTCTGAAACATACTGACTGCTACATTAGAAAAAAAATTTTTTTTTCCTTGGGGCCACGGTGTTTTATTATGAAAATAGAATAAAAACTTTGAAAACAAATGATCCTTTCTAATTTAATGAAAAATTTGTTATTTTTTATTGTTTTCTGTGTTTTTTCCAATAAAAAGGTAATATAAAAACTTGAAAATTAGTAATGTGAAAACTTGAAAAATAGTTTATAAGGGTAAAAAGTGTCTTTCTTGTCAGGCTTAAGTATAATTTAAAGGTAAACATAAATAGAAAAATGAAATTTATTGACTTCTATTCATTTAATCCACATTTTTAGAATTAAATTATCAATCTTAATTTAACAATAACAACATCAACAAGTAAGATTTTCACAACCAACTGCAGGTTTTTGCCCAGGGCCCCAACCATCACATAACATGTATGCCATAGCACGGCAGCGTGGGTTGCTTGTGCACCACACGGCTCCCACGGTAAAGAGATGTGTGAGTTATATATGCTTCATGAGGCCCCTGGCTCAGAACTAGCATGAGTTAAATACAATGCACCTGGCAGTTAATGTGTTAAGTGCTCAATTTTCTGATTATGGTGAATACTTTGCATATAGAAGGTTTTCACACATTTGTTCTAATGGGTGATTGAAAGTCATAGCTTAGTTTTTGCAACACACTGACAGCATGCGGAAAAGCCTTCTAAAATCCTGTTACTCAAAGATCATAATAGGATTCTTAAATGAGTCTTCCATCTCACTATAAATTAGGGGATACTGGCTGACATTCTCATCATTTAGATTTCCTGAAGTTAGATTCTGTTTCTTTATTTCCTGGAAGGAGGAGACACCCTTACAATATTCATTCTTAAGTGTTTGCAGTCTTAGGCTAGTGAAACAGTGCAATGTAATGGGCTGCTCAAGTGTTTAACTCACAGAGTTTATATTTTTACCCTAGGTATCTTAATGCGATTCAGACAATGTGTCCACATATTCTTCGCTATTTGACTACAGCAGTTATAACAAACAAGGATGTTCGAAAACGCCGGCAGGTGCTAAAAGACTTAGTCAAAGTTATTCAACAGGTAAAAACTAAAATCTGTACTGATTTTTTTAAAGTACCTAAACCTTAGGTGTGATCTCTTTTTCTAAAGTAGGACTCTTAGTTCTTAAGGTTAAATAGATTAAAAAATAGGAAGGACATATACATGAATTTTAGATGTAAGAAGAGCCTCAAATGGACATTTAGTTTCTTAAAGTCCAAGATATACTATGTGTGTTAGATGTGGTATGAATGATTATTGATGTGTGCTAGGTGGTTATTTAATATACATGATATATTTGTGTTACTGTTATTGCAAAGAATAAAGAAGATCTGGAATCTGAAGCTGCTTATTGGTGAGATCATTACCTGTATAATGCCAGAGGGGTGACCTTTACATAAATACAGGATTAATAGACCCCAAGTTGGGAAAAAGTTGCAGGCCTGCTGGTTGATACTTAGTGAGCTTCTCAGCAAAAACCATGGATTAGAAAAAGAACTTAAATATTTATTTGATCTAAAAATGAACTAAATACAAAGTAGTAATTCTCATTCAGTAGGGAATGAATACCCTTATCCTTGGGGAAGTGCATCACTGTTATTGACTAAGGGAGACTTTTGGTAGTAGGGGAATTTGAAAGTTTTTGGAATCACTCTAGGATGAGAATTTAGAGAGCTTGATTTGAAAGACATAAGCTTAAGATGTGTTCTGGAATCAGGATAGAAGCAATTGCTTTGAGACAATAATGCTAGGTAATTTGGCTAGAAATTAATGGTAAAGAAAGAAGACAGGAAGGTTGGGATATTCTAGGGGCAATCTGCTAAACAGTATTGAACCAGATATAACTTGACCTTTGACTTAATTTTACAGGAATCTTACACATATAAAGACCCAATTACAGAATTCGTTGAATGCTTGTATGTTAACTTTGACTTTGATGGGGCTCAGAAAAAACTGAGGGAATGTGAATCTGTAAGTATGAATTTTTACTTATAAACTAATAACATTCTTAAAATTTTGGATATTATAGAGTTAATTTTGCAGAGTCTTAAAGGAATGAAGTAATTATATCAAAAATGTTTATTAATCTTAAAATGGGAAGTTATTTGGGAGTGTGCTAGGCTGAAGACATTTTTAATGTTGCCATGTGTATATCCCTTTTAGGGCAGCTGGTTAAAACATTAGGGGTAATTTAAATTCAGATATATCGGTAATTCCATGTCTTATTGTAAATGAGTAAATATGTAAGATATTTTATACATACAGGCAAGGTCACTAAATTGTATGTCACAACTGTGATTCTCAATTTTGTTTCATAGGTGGATTTATCTTCAGAATTTTTCACATGATTGTATTTAACATTTGTGATAAAGCAGGCAATTCACTGTAGTTATGAATTTATAACTATAGTATCTGCTGTTGTTTAATAGAAACTAAAGTACCTTCAGAGCAACTGTGAAAGAGTTAGATTATGGTTGTTTTGAATAATTAGTTTGCAAGTTTTAAGTAATTAAACTAAGAATTTATCTTTGGAATGTAGCTGCATTTACCAGGTCCACAAATTTCTAGTGATCAATTTCATCTTTGAACTAAAAATTTGGCACAAAATAGGCAAAGTTGTTGATAGCCTGAGACAGTCGGTTTGTTGACAGACTTACCTTTTTAAGAAAAAAATGGTCAAATACACATTCAGAGTTGATTTTCAAACATTAGGCAAAATAGAAAATTAGAATCCAGTATGGTAATACGTGTTCTTGTAGTCACGTGTGACATTATTAAAGTAGATATTGGTATATATTCATTACATTCAGTGTCTAGGCCTTGCTGTAAATCCAGAAGAGTCAGAGGGCACTTGGTTGCTGTTCTTGTTTAAATATTCTCTTTTAGTTATAACATTTATGGAATAGGAGCCACCTCTTGCATTCATTTCCTTTGTAAATTTTGAGTCTACTTAGAAATAATGTCAGAAATATTCATGTCTTTAGTCCGGTTATAATTATTTATTTTAAATAGCTAGAAAAGATATGTTATCTACAGCGCGCTTATACATAGGATAATGGACAGTATGGAACAAGAAAAGATTGCAGTTTTTTAGGTCATTTTTTGGTAGCACTCTTTTACTGCTTTTGTAAATTATTAAAGGCTTGAACATAGTGTTCAAGATGACGGAATTACACTGAATGGAACATTAAAACAGACAAAATATTTGATGAGATTTCTGAAAATTGCTTGTCAATGTCATAATTTTTTTCTTTTGTATATCTTACACATAGGTGCTCGTGAATGACTTCTTCTTGGTGGCTTGTCTTGAAGATTTCATTGAAAATGCCCGTCTCTTCATATTTGAAACTTTTTGTCGCATCCACCAGTGTATTAGCATTAAGTAAGAATACTATGATTTGATTTATATTTTCTATTATACTTTTAAATTCCTAGAAATTTCGATTTATTGTAAGATTAGACTTAATAAGATTCCAGTTAATTGTATTTTTATCTTATTTCCCTTTGCTTTTAGAAGAAAAAGGAAACAGTTTGATAGTGATTTATGAAAAAAAGCTAACTTTTTTTGAATCCTAGGATGCTACACACTCAAGCATTTTTGGCTTCCATGTGTGACACAGCATGACTTTTCAGAGTACTAAGCTGAGGGTAGTATATGATTATCAGTTACTTTTTGAAAGAGTAAATAAATACTATTGTAACATTACATAGGGAGAAAAGTGAAGTAACTAGTTTTAAAATGGTTTTCAAAAGGAGTTCAAATAAGGAGATAGCCAGTAAATCAGAAGTTCTGTTGAAAGACCACTACATTTGGTAATCATTTCCATTGAGTTTGTTTTATTTAATTACATATTTGAATTCTCATATAGTAAATTCCTATGACATCCTAAAATGTTGAAACATGGAACAATTATGAATTTTAGTTGAAATTTTCTCTGTTCTGTGAAAAAATTATTAGGAAAAAATTGTGAAATGTACATAACCTATTAGAAACTAATTGTACATATTAGAGTTTGAAAAATAACTAGCATCCTGTGGTCACAGATGAAGTCAAACATAAACGTTTAAAAACTTACTACTTTAGTGTTTGCCTCTGAGGAATTGTGTGTAGAAGAAATTCTTTTTCTTTAATGCCATTTGTTTTTGCTAATCCATGCTTGCTTGCCTAATTTTACTGGGTTGTTATTGAAGTGGTTGTCCGGAGTGAGAAGTATAGTGTAATCATATGCTTTTCCTATGAGAACTGAATCCTTGGCTTCAGTTTTATTAGTACTTTACTATAGCTTGCAGACATAATTTTAAAAATCTGATTCTCTTAAAGAATATATGCAAATTCCTAATATGTAGTTGGTTATGAAATAAAGAGGTGGGTATGTCATATTTGGGGCTCTGGAGGACAATAGATAACTGAATTCTTGCATTGTTCTTTGTTTTTAAGATTTGTAATTAGGGCTTGTGAAAGAGGGATGTTAGTATTTTGGTTTCCCATGTGGAATTTTCCCCATTTCTCATTAGAATATGGTCACTTAGACATTCTTGGTCCAGAACTTATTTAACTACCCCGTTGGGCCTTTTGAAAGCTGACTCTCTTTTTTGTATCTTTAGCACCTAGTATACTAACTTTGCTACTAACATGGTTTGTACAGTATAGTGTGAGTATAGTATAAATATTTATTATATAAATAAATTTCTTTTGTTCTTAGCATTAGTACACTTGCATTTTTGTCCATAATAACTTTTTTACTTTGGTGTTTGCTTCTGAGTTATCATGTATAGGAAGGTTTGTTCTAATTTTAGCTCTTTTATTAACTCTGGGGCCATGGATTCATTATTTTGTTTCCAGGGATTCAGTTTATCTTTAACAGTAAAATAGATTAAGTATTTGTCCTGCCTATTTGAGAGATGTGCAGCTCAAGGGAGTTACAGAGTAAGAATACTTCTGTAAACTTTTATGTGATATTATCATTACCTATCTTGGTTTAGATTTTTATTTTTTCTTTGACCGCTGTAGTTTTCTGCTAAATAAAGTCTCCAAAGCATTTTCAGACTAAAGTTCTAGTGGTTTTCCAAAGTCCAGAAATCTTTTTTTCTTCCAGTGATGGTATTTCCTTTCACTTAGGTTGTTCAGACTTTTTCTGGCTACCTTTTTTACTAAGATGATTAAGAATACATAGATGAGTAATGTATTTTCTTCAATTATTAGGGTAGAATTTTCAAGCTGGAAGAAATCTTAGGGACCTTCTAATCCAACAACACACACAGTTATTGAATCATCTAAACTAGGACTTTCCAGTAAAACTTCCTGCAGTGGTGGAAATGTATTTCAAGTATGGTATACTTGAAAGATGATTCACATTTCAAGATCTAGAGCCATGGCTTTCAAATCTGTGTGTGTGTGCATGTGTGTAAACAGTAGGACTTATTTTCAAAGGCAATATTATATATATATGAATGTACATATTTATGTACATATAAGCAGATCAAAGTAGAGCCCCTTCGCCCTACTTACTCTGTATCTCTGTTCAACTTTTCTCCCGTCTACTAAGACACCTCTTTGGAACCCTACAACTTCTGGAAACACAGTTTTGCATGACATTGACTCAGAACAGCTTCATTATTTTGTACCTAGGAAACTTAAGTCTCAGGAGCATTAAGCTACTTAGGTCTTATTTAATGACAGAACCTTGTCTAATAGGTGTCCAGCATTCATTGTACTGTGCCTCACTATAGATTCCTTTTTATGGTGAACAATTTGTATTTTCAGAAATACTAGGTTTAGACTAATTTGTTAGTTAGTGTATCAGTTGAGCCAGAGAATAAAGATGAAAACCCTAAGTCATTGTTTAACTATGTGTCTCAGAATCTCTGTAGAGTCTGTCATTGTTGTTGTTGTTTTTTCCCCCTCAAATACAGATTCCCTGTAGCCACTTTAAATTTCTGAATCATATTTACTGAGTATGCTATGCTGTGATGTGTAGTAGGGCCACTGTACTGTTTGGATCTTGAGAGTAATTATGCCAAAGCACAGCTAGAATCAAAAAACACTGTGTTAGGTCGCCAATTTTTTAGGCATGAAATTAAAGCCTGCTGTAATGAAGTGAAAAATCAATGATTTAATACCTGTAGTATATGGTGAATTAAGAAGATAAGCTTCTTCATGTTTTTAAAGCTTCTTTAATGGATTAGAAATATAGTGACTGAAAATAATGTTAAGTATTTATGTTGGGATTTTATAAATACAGCAGACATCTTGATTCAGACTCCTAGGACTTGGAATCCATGATGTAATGACCAACAGAGCTAAAATTACCTTTAAACAATACATAGAAAAAATAATAATTCTTCTACAGTCCAGAGCTTTTAAACCTAGCTGTACATCAGAACCATCTGGAAAAGTTAAACAACAACTTAAACTTAAAAAGAATAGAGTTCCTGGTTTCGCCCCAGACCATCTGAATCAAAATCTCTGGGATCAAGGCTTGAGAATCTGGGTTTAAAGCTTCCCAGGTGATTTGTTTGCGGTCAGTCTTGGGGAATCACTGCTCTAAATTAGTGATTTGTAGTCCTGGCAGCACATTGCAATCAAATGGGAAGCTTTAACACATTGACTGCCATGTGAGTTGTATTTAACTCAGGCTAGTTTCGAGCCTGGGGCCTCATGAAGCAAAACCCTGCAGTTGATTCATGAAAATCTTACTTGTTGATGTTCATTGTTACAATTAATATTGACAATTTAATTCTAAAAACGTGTATTGTGTTGCATATATCTCACACACAGAAAACAATAAAAAGTAAATTAGAAAGGAACATTTTGTTTTAATAAAACACTGTGGCCCCAGGGAAAAAATTTTTTTTCGAGTGTGGCAGTCAATGTGTTAAAAAGTACTAAACAAAAATAATGGATGACTGAGTCTAACCCCTAAAAAACAAAAACATTCTCTGGAGGGAGACACCAGCAATTGTATTTTTAAAAGGTCCCCACTGATTCTCATACAAGACCTTGCTTATTTTTTTAAGAAATCAAACTTTTAAGATGATTATAGGTCAGTTGTAAGAAATAATAGAGACCCCCTGTGTTCTTTATTAGGTTTCTCCCATTAGTAACGTTTTGCAAAACTATAGTAAAATACAGCAATCAGGACATTGACATTGATACATTCAAGGTACAGAACATTTCCATCACCACAAAAATTCCTCAAGTTGCTCTTTCATAGCGGTACCCACTTCCCTGCCAGTCCCTCCTTAATCCCTGGCAACCAGTCATATGAGATCCATTCTCCAATTCTGTATTTTGTCATTTTAGGAATGTGCAAAACATTTTCTAAAAAGCAGTGATCAACTTTCTAAAGAGGGCAAATAATGCTATGTATCATGATTAAGATATAATTAATTAATAGCAACATAACTAGTAGTACTGCTGTCCAAAGAAAACTATAAATGTTACTGAGTGCCTCTTCTGGCCAAACACTAGGTAGAAAATACTGAACATACTCTCAAAGACCTTAAAATCAGAGGTAGAAAACAGATATTAAATTATGATAGGTGTTTTGAAATACAGTGCAGAGTGATTAGAGAGAATGACATGGACATATTTTGTATATTGAAAACCAGAGAAGTAATGTAGATAGAAGATACATTAAACCCTCTAAACTCTCTAAATGGAGTATCTCTCTAATGGATAACTCTCTAAATGGAGTATCTTTAATCCCCAAACTAGACTTTTTTCCACTGAATACTATTAATAATTATGAGAGATTATTCTATTCACTAGTTTATGCTGGCCTGTCTCTGCCTCTGATTAGTCTAAAGTTATTTGATATTCTATCTTTTTGCGGGGAAAGAGAAAGGATTTGTCTCTGGCCTCCTTTTCTTTCCCTAAAGGATACATTTCAAATGCTGCATAGAATAGTATACAGCACATGGTTATTTATTAAACAACTCTTTCCATTTGTGATTTGGAACATTCTGTGTTAGTAGATTTCCTGACTAAATGGCTGTAAGCACATGTGATAGCCATATCTTTATAAAAATACATATTAAGAATGTTTTTTAACAGCTTGTATACAACTCTGTAGATTCGCAGGATAAGTTACAAATCTGTTTACCATAAAGTGTGCAACATCTGTCAAAAAAGATTACTATGGTGGGGTTTAATTTAATATAGCTGAATAGTTTATCAGATATAGTATGTGTCTGAAATTTAAAAGCTGTTCTGAAATAATTCTTGGATCACTTTTCAATTGCAGATAAAAACAAAGTATGGAAGTAATATTTTGAGTGTGTATGATAAACATGTTGAAGCATACATTAATACAGTTTCCTTATAGGGGATTAGTTTTGTCTTTTCATAGAAGAAGGTATTTGCCAACTGCTCTGGCATTT